AGGTGACATGTTTTTTTTTTTTAAACCCTCTGCCTGTCACAGTTTAGTCTTGTCACATACTTCAGATCTGCAAGAGAATTATGTGTTAATGAACACAAAAGAGATATTTTAGTATTTGATTGATAGCTATTTCTGAAATGGAACTAATCAAATAAATGGAAAAACAGAGTGAACTTCTATAAATTTAAATAAAATAGGGTTTTAACACACTGCTTTTGATATAAAAAATTTTATTATACATCCTTGAATTTTAAAATTGTGTTCCAATGACTCCATGAATATGCAGAGATAAATGGAACAGTTGAAATATTAGTGAATTAATTTATCTTTGAGATTTACTTTTAACACTCATTTCCATTTTAGGAAGAAATCTCATTAACATATATAAATAAGAATAATTCAGAGACTTCATATGCCATCTCTCATAATAGACTGTGGCTTGAGTTAATGTTTCAGTACAGCTTGGAGTCACAGCCTCAGTCCCATCGAGGTCCCTGATAATCAAAAAGCATTGTGCTTCCAGGGGCCCTCAGACAGCATGAGCAGTAGTATCCATGACAGGGTTTAGTTCAAAGTAATTAGGGAAAACAGTACCAGAAAAGTTGAAATTTTTATATTACAGCTTAATAACACTTGTTATAGGAATGCATGATTTTATAAAAATGTGTAAAGAATAGACTGAGCAGAGATAATGGGAGAAAAGCAAAATGTTTCTAATCAAGGCCKTTACAACAAAGTATGCATACTATTTGGTGTCAGAGCATCTTGTGATTTTGTAAAAATGTTTATACATGATTGGAAATCCAGTGATGGAATTCCAATTCTGGTCTTAGGATTCCCACTTAGTAGTAGTGCATCTGTTCATTAGGACTTCTCCCCTGAATGTGGATGATTTCAGTCCTGTGTCCCAGCACCTGTTGCTGGGAGGTATTTTTTCCCAGTCACTATCCTAAAGCACAGAGAGTTACTGCTTGACATTTTGTAGCTTGAGGAGGGGAGGCTGTCTCTTCAGAATCATTTGTTCCCAGAGGAGAAATGGAGCAAAACAGTTCATTTTACTCTAAGCACTGCTATTTTGGTGGTATTCACATTTGCACAGCATAAAGCTGCAATATTGATTTTTTTTTTTTGCGCTCACTGGGCTTCCCACCAGTTCTTTCTTCAGTTGTCAAGATTGCAAGATGGATTGTATTACGCTTTGCTTGTTGGGATGTTTTGGTTTTTTTTCTTTGTTGAAATAAAAATAGATTAAAAATAGAGTTTAAAATAAATATCATAGTAATGGTGTGGTTAAAAGTCTTTAATTTAGGGATTTCTTGATGTTGATTATGTTGACTGAGCCATTTATTTGAATACTTGGCCATGTGATGTACTCTTTACTTTTCTGCTCCTCTTCTTCACCCAATACTGAAGGCACCATTACTCTGTCATCTACAATTGGCTGAGTTTCAGATCTTAATTTCATTCTTACTGGATATGTAATCATGGAAAATATAGTCATTCTGTACTTCAGTTTCCTTCTCTGTAAAATGGTGATCACCTATCTGTATGGTTGGTTTGAGGACTTTTAGTTAGGAAATATTTGTAAAGTTCTTAAAGGAACTTGTGTCAATGATGGCACAGAGAATCTTCTTCCCCCCAAAACAAATGTAAAATTGGACAAAATTGTCAAAAGCAATCATTTTGGCCTCTGAAAATTAACTAAAGCCAAACAACTAGTGGGGAGCATACGCTTTTGAAAATCTGTTAGAACTTCCACTATGAGCAGTGGAAGTTGAAAGTGTGAGGCTGCTTCTGCCCCTCATCTCTCATGGTTAGCTGTCATTGTAGTAGCTTCATCAGGAGAAGGCTGGCCTTCCAACACAGTGACTTTGCTGCCAGAGACAGTTGACTTGATTGGAAGTTCAGGGTAGAAACCAAGACCCAAGAGCATTGTCAATGAAAACAGTAGACGCGGTAGGAAATAAACATCTGCCCCTGCCTCTCCCCACATCATAGCTCTTCTACCATTTGCTGTGGTCCAAGTTACAAAGCACTATGCAGGCACCACCAGGAAATGAGGAGCCACTAGATCTTTAATCATTCTTGACTAACTAGGAAGCTGCACACCTGTACAGAGAGGTGTGATAGGGCTGGCAGAAAGCAAATAGCAGGCTGATTTGAAAACTATCTGAACTTTGAATACTCTTCCCAACACTCATATCAGCAGAGTGGAACATTACTATGGGCTCATAGTTTTTGTGCAAAATTTATGTCTGATCATTGGCTGACCACTAAGCTGTACAAAGACAGAGGGTAACTTCTAGGAACCTCGACTAAAAGGTAAAAACAAAGCAACAAGCAGAGATGTCGGTAGCTGTACACAGTGGTGGAGACGGATTTTGTAGATCAAGTCAGGACACTAAAAAGAAAACACAACAGCTACAATTTCTCTGGGGAAAGTAATATGAATCCACAGTTGGTGGATTAATAACAGAATATTATTTGAAATGTATAGTTTTCAAAAACAACAGAAAGTTCACAAAATACACAAAGAAACAGGAAAGTTGATCCATAATCAAGAGAAAAAGCATTCTGTAAAAACTGCTTCTCATGTAGCCCCAGATGATAGATTCAGCAGGAAAACTTTTCAGAGCATCTATTATAAATATGTGCAAAGATTACAGTAAAACTGTGTTAGAGAATTAAGAGGAAACATCATGACAATAACTTAACAAATATGAAATCTCGGTAGAGAAATAAAATATTACTTTTAAAAGGCCTTAGAGAAAATCTTGGTACATCTTAGTTGTTGTTTTATCAGTGCATTATAGATTAACACCCCACCCGTAGCCTCACCCCCAGTGCATCCCACCTTTATCTGAACCTGGAGATTCGAATTCAGTAGGTCTGGAATACAACTTGAAGCTCAGTCATGAAAAGCTTCACTTACAGCCATGTTTATGATCCTGCAAACTAACAACAATAAAAATTAAAGGGCTCAGTTTAAAAATCAAAGAGCTTCATAATCAATTCTGTGTTTCTGACAAAACAGTAAGAATTTTGAATTATGGCTCCAAGCCAGTCTTTTAATAGCACGTTCTAATATTCCTCACATTTTCTAATAATATGATTTATTCTGTTTTATTATGGAATTAAAATTGCAAATCACTTCTGCCTTTAAAGTAGATTGTGCTAAAAAATATTATTTAATGTCACTTGTTTGAGGTTCCATATAGCTTTTTCCACAAATAAATATCAGCTTCTAAATTTGTTTTAATTGAAAGTATTTATATAACAGTACTGATTTAAGCTTAGTTATTTGACAGGAAAGGAGGAAATTGCTGTTGTCTGTGTATGTCTGTCCCGCCCCCATACACACACACACACACACACACACACACACACACACACCATCTTTCAAAGCTGGGCTTGCTTACTGCTATTGTCCTGACATTTGTCTGGTTCTGTTTGCTGCCCAGTTTTTTTTTTTTTTTAACTCAAATATTTTGTTTGAGTAATTTTAATAGTTTGCCATGATTTCCTGATGGTTTCCAGGTTTCAGATATCACATTCCCCACCCCACCCACTTCCTGTTCAATCCAGTTACACCTTTAGTTTTCTCAGTAGAACTGAGCATTCAGCCAGGTTTGAGAGTTGCCAGTCCAGACCACACCAATATGTGACCCAATAACCCATTAAGAACATTATTTGTCTCTTGGAAAGAAGGTGGATTTTTGTCTAGGTGACTTTCTCTTCCATTGAATTAGTAAGAAGCATTGTACAATAAGGATTCAGAGAACAGTTTTTGGCATTGGGTTGACCCGAACACAACCCAGCTCTTCAAGCTGGATGTTACTTTTGATTTTGAGTGTCAGGATCACCCAATAGGACACGTGGGATAAGTTATATCATGCAGAGTAACTGAAAGTATAAAGATAAAAATAAAGCATTGTCTTTTATAATAGGAATACTGTAGATGGTGACAACCTAGAGAACTGAAATAAAAATTTCATGCACAAGGGTTTTGATGTGGAGGCTGATCCATAAGTACCTTCCAGGCTGGCATAGCACAGATGTTTGTCCCCCAGAGACATATTTGCTATCCTTGGCTTTCTTTTTTTACCTTTTGTCCTATGTTCTGTCGCTTTAGGGGAGAACCCTATTTGAAAATTGTAATTCAGACTTCAAATTGTAACCTATCATTCTATTCAAGAACTTTTTTTTTTTTTTTTGCGGCACACACGAACAGTGGTCGTCTACACTTGACTGGATGTACAATGAATAAATTCACATAGCATTTTAAGTATTTTAATGCACACTTCTCGTCACTTTAGAGCCATACAGGTAGGAAAAATAATATCACGGATGTTTCATCTTCATTTTGCAGATTACAACCCTGAAGCTTAGAGAAATTTTTGCCATTTTGGGTCTTTTAATTGGTTTGATTGGATCAATAATGTTTCCTTTGTCTGTTTAATCCTTTCAGCTATGTCAGTGTCTATAAGTTGAAAAGGTTAACAGCTGTGTTCCACTGTCTTAAGTATCTTACTTATTTTGGGGAAGAACTGCTAAGACAAAGGTATTTTGGGGATAATGATGCTGATAGCAAATTTATATGTATACATTAAACAAGAAAGTATAACAGAACTTGTAATCCATTGCACAAACGAAAAGTTTTCCTTGATTAATGTTTATATATGATATTTGTAAAACTTGTCACTGTGTATACAGTCGATCAAATTTGTCATTTTCCCTTGGATTTACTGAAAAGTAGCTCTTTAGCTTGTGTTTACACTAGATCATGCAGAAAATATTTTGTTTGAGTCATTTTAAAGTATCTTATAAGGATGAGTCCAAGTAAAGATGTATTAAATAAAATTGATAATAAATTTCAGACTTGGAGTTAAATGAATTTCTGACATCTTTTGACTGTAGATGTGAATCATATTACTGGAAAGTGTATTGTTAAAATAGTTTCGCAAATTAATTAAAGTCTAATTTTCTTTTCTTATTTTAAGGTTTCAGCAGAGCAGCTTTACCATTTGGGTTAGTCAGGCGAGAATTGTCCTGTGAAGGTTATTCCATAGATCTGCGCTGTCCGGGCAGTGATGTCATCATGATCGAGAGCGCTAACTACGGTAGGACAGATGACAAGATTTGTGATGCGGACCCATTTCAGATGGAGAATACAGACTGCTACCTCCCAGATGCCTTCAAAATCATGACTCAAAGGTAAATATTCATGTATTTATGGTTGCATTTTGTCTAGTATGTTTATCCAAGTTTGTAGAATTAATGTAATTCCAAAATGAATAGACACAGCCCATATCTCAGTTATGTATGAAACTGAGTTGGATTTTTTCACTACTATTGATTTTTACTTTGTTTTCTACAATATTCAGACTTGTATGTTATTTTAATATACTCTGAAAGAAGGATTATATACTATATATCTTTTATATATTATAAAAGAGAAAGAATAATAATTCAAATGTATTCTTTTTTAGAGCTTCAAAAATCTGAAGTATTTTATATAATAATTAAGAAGGTTTAAATGTTTAGGTCTTTGTCAATAGGTGCTCCTTAGCTTTTTAAAAAAGTAAGCTTTGTCCTGGTGCAGTGGCACATGCCTGTAATCCCAGTGGTTCGGGAGTCTCAGGCAGGAGGATAGCAAGTTCAAAACCAGCCTCAGCAAAAGTGAAGCACTTAGCAACTCAGTGAGACCTTGTCTGTAAATTAAAATACAAAATAGGGCTGGGGATGTGGCTCAATGGTCACATGCCCCTGAGTTCAGTCCCCAGTATCCCCCCTCCCAAATAAATAAATAAATAAATAAATAAATAAACAAACAAATAAATAGTAAGCTTTAGTTTTTTGGTTTTTTAAAAAATATTTTTAGCTCTAGCTGTGCACAATACCTTTATTTAGTTTTTTTAATGTGGTGCTGAGGATTGAACCCAGTGCTTCATTCATGCTAGGCAAGTGCTCTACCACTGAGCTTCAACCCTAGCCCAATCTTTTATTTTTAAAAGCAATTTTAAATTCTAGTAAAAATTGGACAGAAAGTACGGAGAGTTCCCATATAACTCCAATCCTTACATAAGCACAGTACGTTATCAGTATCTTTTACCAAAGCTGTATGTTTATTAAAGTCTGTAAACCTACATACACATCCTTACCCCCCAAATTCATAGTTATCTTGTTTTGTTTATGCTTTTTTTTTTTTTTTTTTGGCGGCGGGGGTGGGGGTGTACTGGGAATTGAACCCAGGGCACTTTTTCCTCTGAGATACATCCCCAGGCTTTTTAATTATTTTAAATTTTGAGATAGGTTTCTCATTAAGTTGCTGAAGCTGTCCTTGAGTTTGTGATCCTCCTTCCTCTACCTCCCGAGTTGCTGGGATTACTGATGTGCACCACTATGCCTGTGATCATAGTTTAATCCCACTAAGAGTCATTCTTGGTGTTTTGCACTCCATGGGTTTTATAAATTGTTTAACAACAGGTGTCCACCATTGTAGCAAACAGAATAGTTTCACTGCCCTACAAATTCTCTGTGCTTTTTCTCTTCCCCTCACCCCTTTTTCCCCAATGACTCCTGATAATTCTTTGTCTTTTTACTATCCCTACAGTTCTATACTGTCATATAGTTAGAATCATATGTAGCTTTTTTAGATTGGCTTCTTTTCACTTAATAATATGCATTTAAGTTTTTGCCATGTCTTTTCTTCCTTCATAGTTCATTTGTTCTTAGCAGGGAGTAAAATTCCATTGACCAGACATTACCACAGTTTGTTTTTCTATTTAAATACTGAAGGGCATTTTGATGTCTTTCAAGTTTTGGCATTTATGAATAAAGCTATTGTAAATATCTGTGTGCAGGTTTTTATTGTGGACATGTTTTCAGGACTTTTGGGTAATTACAAAGATTGTGATTGCTAGGTTTTATAGTGGGAGTACATGTACTTTGATTAGAAACTGTCAAGCTGTCTTCCAAAGTGGTTTATCATTTTGGATTCCCACCAGCAATGAATGGGAATGCTTCTGACTTCACACTCTTGCCAGCACTTGGTACTGACCATGTTTGGATTTAGCCAATGTAATTCGTATGCAGTGGTACTATCTATCTCCTTGGTTTAATTTATAATTCCCTAATGATGGAAGGTGTTATACATCTTCTCATCCATATTGCCCTCGTATGTCTTCCCTAGTGAAGTGTTCATTTAGTCTAAGCTCATTTCTCTAATAGCTTGTTTCTTTTCTTATTGTTAGGTTTCAAGATTTACCTTGTATATTTTGGATAATATTAAAAAAAGAATTATATCTTTTCCAAATATTTTCTTCCAGTTTTTGGACTTCTCATGCTCTTGATCCATAGCTAGAGCAAACATAATAAAACAATACTTTCAAGTTACAGGAGTACATAGTTGAGTATACACTCTATGGATAAAGTCCTCTCAAGAGTTCAGACAACTTCTGGATGTCTTTCCTAGCAGATTGAGCTTTTTTCACTCATGATTGCATCTTAATTTAGAGGAGTATAGAGTGCCATCAATCTAACACATATGTTAATATGGGGAACATATTTCTGAATAGTAACTGGGATTTCTTCTATTTTTAAAGAGCATATCAATAGGGGTAACCATTCTAATAAGATTCTACTTTTTACAATTCAAACAATTCCTTTCTCTTTTATTACCTTGTATGTTGCTTTAGATTATTTTTAAGACAAGGCATAAGGCAGATTGTCTTTTCCTTGAAGTTCAGAATCCCATTCCCACCCCCACCCTCACCTCCCACAAGCAGGAAAATTAAATTTCAGGACAATATAAAATGCGATATCATTGAATGTCTAAGGCACTGTAGTTTGTGTATTGGTTATAAATTGGTTTTTAGCTAACTTTAAAAAGATCACCATTCAATAAGGTAGGAAAAGGAGTCTTAAGTGTGTGTGTACATACACATTCAGATACTATAAAATACCTGAATTCCTGGGTTGAGAAGTACACTTTGATAATTGAATTTGATCAGTTTTATTTCTCCACTAAGTCCTAGTTCATTAACTGCAGAAAATAGTGCGTTATATAGAAACTTGCTACTTAAAATGCTGATACTGTTCATCAGGATTTTTTAAGAAACCAAAAAATATAAGTGTACTTTTGAAAGATTCCCACCAAGATGTTTTTACTTTCAATTCTTAATGAATTTTATTAATAATTAGTCAAAATCTCATTTGCATAAAATAAATTATGTTTTAAATGAATTMTTATTTAAAACATAAATCTTTTATGAACTGTGTAAGTTTAGAATTGTGATCCATGAAATCACAGTGACCTGAAAATCCAAAATCTGAAATACTCAAAATCTGAAATCCTTTGACAGGTTGCAATCAAAACATAGACCCACTCAAAGTATTGTGTAAAATTATCTTCAGGCTGTATATATAAGATACTTTTGAAACATATGCAAATTTTATGTTTGGTTCTTCACAATATCTAGTTGTATATATCTAGATTGGGTTAGGTTTCAAGATTTACCTTGTATATTTTGGATAATATTATTATACAAAGTACCGAAAATCTGAAATGTTTTTGATCCCAAACTTTTTGGATGAGGAATGCTAAACCTGTAGAACATTTTGTACTTAGTATTTCAAAATTTCGGAACTGCTTATGTCAGGGAGACTATAAGATTCATACTCAGAAACAACCATTTATTTATTCTTCACATGTTGATCTGTTTGTTCAGTGCTAGTATTATGAATTAGGCATCTGAAAAGCAGACTGGAAAGAAATAGGAAATGAAGAAGTTCTATTGATGATTACCTATTTTTATTAGGCTAACAAAAAGCAGTGGAAGTTGGTACAACGAAAATGTCTGGAAGAACTGACTTTATGGTCTTGTACATTGTAGCTAATTTTTGTTTGCCTGTTTATATATGCATTTAAGTACACAACAGATACCCAGTCACATATGTCAGACTTATGCTTGCTCATATGAATATCATTACATGTTATAGGAAACGGGCAAAATAAAATGTCAAGTTATTTTCATCATTTATTTTATGAATGTGCAACTACATTTCTAGATATGTGAATGCTTTAGCAAGATCTAGAGATTGTCAGTATTTAAATTCTATGAACATAAGTAGTTGTTCTCTCCACCCTTCTTATCAAAACCTCAAATAGTATATGCTGTTTGAACAGATAAAAGGGCAATAAAACTATTAATGGTTAACCTCCCCTTTTAAGTTGTATTACACAGGGGTTATAATTATTTAATAATCAGAATGACAGTTGAAACAAACATTTTATTTAAAAGAAAGACAAAGTTAAGATGATTTCAAAATTAGGTTCATAAGATGATTTTAAAATTAGTGGTAGCTTATAAGCACCCCAGACTCTGTATGTCAGAACATGAACCTTTAAATAAGACTGCCATTCAGTATAGCATTTCAAATAGCTATAAGAGAAACAAGAGGGCAGTATTTTTGCCCCAGTATTATTGTGAATAGTAATAATAATAGTTATTATGATTATAACCTTTATTTTATCCATTTTTTTTTATGTGGGGCTAAGGATTGAACCTAGGGCCTCGCACGAGCTAGGCGATCACTCTATCGCTGAGGCACAATCCCAGCCCATGAATAATTATTTTTGAAAGTGTAGACTATTTTGGCTCTTTAAAAAACACCGGGCCCCTCATAACTTAGCAAGTTTTTATATTTGTATTCCTCAAAAAATGTGATTTTGTTAAAAAAGTAATGCAATAAAGAGAGAGAGAGAATTATTTAATATAGAAGTTTCTCTATGGAAAGCTCAAATAAGAACATTAGTCTTTTTTCATTAAATTTGAAAGCACCATTTTCTGCATATAATGATGGAAATCAAGAAATTTAAGTACCAGTTACAGTATTTTTTGCTTTGCATTTCAAGTTTTTTCATCCCTCTCCTCTACTGTTACCACTTTAGCAGTTTAGAATGAAGTAAATAAATTAACTTGTAATTCATATTTGTGATCATAAAAGTATTTCTATTCACTTCATATTTTCTATTTCCTGTTCAGCTTAAAAGTATAAAACTAAAGCTCTCTTAATAACTGATAGTATACTTTGAATTGCTTGGAATCAGAGGTATTTCACATATTTGATTGTGGAATATATGCACAGATGTTACTAGTTGACCATCCTAATCTGAAAGTCTAAAACTGAAAATTCTCCATCTGAATATTTGA